TTCACCATAGAAGTTTCTAAAATGCCGTGAGAAAGTAGTTGCCAAATAAAATTATGGTTATTATTTGAAAATTAAAACAATCAGAAAACTGCCCCAAACAGACCCTAAATTTCTTAAAGCATGTGATATAATACTCAAATATAAGTCATATGCATTTAATCACCAAGTTAGAGAAGATTAAAATGATATCACTGTGATCAATGCTATCCTTTAACTTATAGAAAAGAAAAAAGAACGAATCAACGAATCTAATATCATAGTCATCCTTCTTCTTATGCACTATAAAGTTTCTAGGCTTTAAACATCGCTTCATCTGACGCAACACGCGTGCTCAAAATATTCATCACCACATAGGCCTAAAATAATTCACTTGTTATCAATTGTTGAATTATGCAGTCTACTTTTTGTACTACAAAAAAAAAAATGTAGACTTAATTGTCAATAGAATTTTGTGGTAAAGTGGTTACAAGGTTAGAAGGGAGTAAGGATCCTCTTTATGGTGTTTGAATTTTCCTATGATGAAAAGATGAGCGGTGACATCTCTGATATTTCTAAGGAATTAGAGTTATAATTCTTCATAGTTAATCATAAAACTCAAAAGCATTTGACATTGTCAAAGCATGGCTTACATAGTGGCAACATTGAAGAACACTAGATTTGATGCAGGTTCTACCAGATATGTATAAGAAGCTCTCAACATATTAGGTACATTTGATGAAATTATTATTTAATCTAGAATCTCTTAAAGGTTGTTTGATGGTGGAACACCTAAGTTCAACAAAATTGTGAATAAATTGGTTTTGATAGAGGTTAGATAAGGGGATGAGGTATATGTAGGGTGTAAGTGAGTCGAGTTTGCTCGAACTCGACTCGCTACCGAGCTTATCAAGTTTCAAGCTGGAACCTATAATCGAGCTCATTTACTAAATGAGCACGAATTCGAGCTCAGTCCTACTTGACTTGTTAGTTCATCGAGCTACTCGATTTTAAAATATATTTTTTAAAATTTTTAATATACTCTTTTCTTAAGAATTTTTTATGATAACAAAAGTCCGGACGTCATAAATGAGTCAAGTTCGTGCTTTTCAATCAAGCCGAGCTCGAGCTTAAATTTTTATACAACGAATAAAATTCGAGCTCATTAAATGAGCTCAAAGCTCGAGTTCGACTTCAGTATGAGCTAAACAAGCTCAACTCAACAATGCTACTACTCAACTCGATTCGACTCGTTAACACCCCTACTTAGATGTCTTAATTCTTTTTATTTCATTATCAAATGATTGGGAACTTACGAGGATTGATAAAGGAGTTCCATTTGCAACTCTAAGGCCTCGTTTGATTAGGCTTATTTTCTCCTTTCTCCGTCTGAATAAGCAGAAACTAGTTACCCTAACTGTTTGGAATAAAAGCTTAACCATAATTCCTTTTCGCTAAACTCCATTTTTTCGGAGGTTACAAATTTTTTTTTGTTTCTGCTTATTCCGTCACAAATCGGAGTTTCAAAAGCACAATGTCGGATCAAGCCCTACAGGCATAACCCCCGCCGTAAATTTATTATTTGATAAGATAATAAATTAATTTTCCAACATTAAAATATTTTTTGTTTAAGTTGAGTTTTTTTTTATAGAAGAATTAATAACGAAATATTGTAAGTATAATAATAAATTAATATGATTTAAATTTTATCTTATTTGTAGTAAAAATTATGTTGTATGTTAAAAAATTATGAGTTAAAAATGAAAACTTTTGATATTATAAATTAGTAGATAATTAAATTTTTCTTAGAAAGTTATATATATATATATATAAGAGCACTACTAACAAGTGAAAATCAAACAATGGGGGAAGCAGCTCCATAAATGGATAAAATGTACTGTTGAATTTATTGTAAAACTTAATCACGTGAAGAATTATAAGATTAGAAGACTAATGCTATAAATGTAATAATTGAAAATATACATGATATTTTAATTATGCTTGATGATTTTTCTATAGTTTCTTATATAAAAGATTCAAGCACCCTTTTTCATACCATTGCACACTATTATAAGAAAATAATTTAACAACTCTTATTATAAAAAATAATTTTACAACTTTTGTTGAAAAAAAAAAACTTTCCATCATAAAAGTTTTAAAAAACAAATGATAAAATAACAAGAAAACAGTAGCCAAATATTCGTCATCCAAAGAAGAAATCCACAAGAAAACCATTCCAAACAGATTCTAAATCTTAAAGAACCATATTGCGAAGAAACATAAAAAAGCTTACCTAATTCATGATTAACCTTTGAGCAATGTTGGTGATTGTGACAATATTTGAAGTTATTAACAAGACAATTTGAAAGATTCATGAAAAACTAAATTCTTTTGATTAAATTTGAAAAAAAAAATTATTAAAAGGATAATAATTTAATATGATATTAAATCCCTTTAAAATACTTGAAATTCATTTTAAAATATTTTTCATAAAAATTTTTATTTAATTTATCAATCAAAATACCACAATATCCACTATTTTCATCACTTCATAATCAGTATTACATTGCATAAACCTACTTCAATAGTTTTCGCCCTACCATTGTTTCTCATACCTTACTAAGTGCTCGACTTTAGCAAATGGCATGATAAAAAGGAGTAATTATTACGTCCGGACATCAAACGCGTCTAGAGACCAATACCCACGCGCCACATCACCTGGAGCTCAGTACCGAGCACTCGGTATTGCTCGGTATACATCCAATTTTTCAATTTTTTGTCCAGACGTAACAATTTTCTGATAATAAAGTGTACTGCTACAATACGGAACCCATAAATCTAAAAAAACTCAACTGTTGCGTTCTCTCTTTTATCTCTTACGTGAATTACTTTTTCTTTTTATTTGAATTATAAGCAAGCATGATTAAAAACCCTCAAAATAATATTAGATTCCTCTCTCATGGGACGCAATTTTTTAAGTAAGGAGAAAATAATTGTGCGACTCTGCGTCTGTGGGGTTACCTGTTGATAGACCCACCGTGGGTTTAATTACACCGCCATGCACCTCCTTTGAGGGTGGCAGCGGATAGATACCTCCGTTCCAAAAAAAATAGTTGCCTTCTAGCACAATTTTTTTTTTAATAATAAAAAATATTGCTTAAAAGCTATCCTAAATAAAACGTAAGTGCGTATTTTCAAATTTGGAACTCAAATACTTTAGTCTTGACAGTAAAGTCTCGAACAACCAAGTGAACTAAGCGACAATAAAGGCGATTTAAGCAATGTGCCCATGCACACCTGCTGAGAACAAATCTATTCAGTGGAGCTGAAAATTTTAAAGATAAAAGTTGATAAGTTTTGCTATCAATAAGATAGAAAATAATATTCCAACTTCCAAGTGTTCATAAGTCCAAAGGCATCAGGTTTCCTTTTAAGTCACGCTACCTGAGCTTTCTAACTTCCTGAAGCAGGCTGATTACAGGACAATCAACAGGAAGTTGCTGCTTGGCACTATTTGTTTGTGTTGATGGAGCAGTTCATCACTCTATTCAAAGTGGTTTTTTTTTTTTGGAAAATTTTAGGGCAAAAGCCCTGATAGCATTAAAGAAGATTACTTACATGTGAGAAAATAATGAAAACCTATAAAGAAAGAACAAACAGGATGAACCAAAATAAAAGCAGAGCAAAACTAGTCTCCCAAAGAAAGCAAAAACAGCTTAGGAGGGACCCAAAAACCGGGCTCAGGGTATTGCAGAGAAGCACAAAGACCCCTTGGTTGCAGAGGAAAATCACATAGAGATCATAGAATCGGTCAGCCGCAATCCATTGCCCTTCGAGGGAAAATGGTGCAATACGAACATCATTGCCCATCAAAATCTTCAGAATAGAGAAACCAAAACTGCAAAAAAATCGTCAATTTAGCACGGCAAAACGGGCTTTGAGCTCATCAAATTGTTTCCACCTCTTCACCTTGAGGATAGCATGCCTTATGAAATAACAAATCCTGGAAGGGCTATTCCAGGTATTGTCAAAACGACGTGTGTTCCTTTCATTCCAAAGATGGTATACCAAGCCACATAAAATAAAGAAGCAAAACTCTTTTTCCCAACTGGAAAAACCTTGCACTTCATCAATGAAATAAACCTGCATTAGAGTCGGCCTGAGGAGGAAGCAGTCCAGCATAGGCAACAGTTCGGAGATAACAGAGAAAGAAAAATCGCATTCAAAGAAGAGATGAGAATGACTTTCAAAGCCACATTGACAAAAAGGACATAACGGATTAATATCAATAGATCTCATTCGAAGTAAATCCGCACTTTTCAATCGCCCAAGAGCAGCTATCCAGGCATAAGAAGAAAACCTGAGAGAGTGATGCTTATGCCAAATAAACTCGTAACAACTGATCACCTCCAAATTATTAAAGAAGTGAGCATATAAGGTGGAGAAAGAAGGATTTTGTAAGCCGTCCCAAGACAATGCTGGTCACTCACAACTGAAAATACCCTGAACAGCATATCTCAACTGATCGGGAAGTGTAGAGGGAATAGCTGGTTGCAATTGAGATAGCAATTAACATAAGGCAAACCGAGGCTAACAGAACGAAAAAGTTCATAAAGTGATTTTCCGTTACACCAAGGATCCCACCTCATAGAAAAGGTGCTGTTAAGAGAAATGACCAGAGAAATAGAACTGTGCGGTAGAGAAATTTTCAGAATTTAGAGGCGTTGGCAGAAGGCTGCTTCCAAGGAGAAAGATATTTGGACTTAAACCAGGAGATGGCCAGATTATCTGAAGAATAAAACCTCCATAAAAAAGAGCAAAAATTTGCATGATAAAGAGCATCAATAGAGAGAATGCCAAGGCCCCCAACTGCATAGGCATAGCAGTCTTATTCCAAGAGATCAAGTGAAGTTTCCTTTCGGAGATGTGATCAAGTGTGACTCAGCATATTTAAGATATCTTCATTTAAAAAAGACTGCAGGTCTGGCATACTTGGGAGATGGTGGGTCTATTTGGGGCAGCTCTTTCTACACTTTAAGAACTATTAGGGTATGATAACAGCAAGAAACAGTTCTCCAATTTTTTTATAAAAAGTATTTATGATACTTACATTAACTTTCAAATAAGTTGATTTTCTCACAACAGTTTTATAATCACTTCTATCAAAAATAACAGCTAAATACCCATATTGCCTGCTTTGTTATTTTCCTCTTCTTTTGTGACAATCCGAATTGCCTGCACAAGTTCAAAATAATGAAAATAACTCAAACAGAAAAAGAACTACGTAACTCAATCAGAGCTGTGGTCCACATATGCTTTTAACTGGGCCTCTTTGGTTCAGTTGAGCCAGCTGCAGCATTTTATTAAAAGACAATTCTAGTGTGCTTGTAAGGAAAGCAATTTTTAAAAACTTCAAATCATACAATTCTAGTGTGCTTGTAAGGAAACCAATGAAAAGCAGTAAAAAGGTTACTTCAAATCACACAAATTTTCTATAAAACAGAAAAAAATTAGTAGCCAACTGAAGCACAAGTCCAAAAAGCAAAGTAGAAAAAATGTTATTCCAAATATACGCTCCTAAATTTTCGATACTTAGGCAAAATAATTTGATTCTTTATAAACACTAAGCTTGATTTTTATTAATTTAAATTTTGGATGTATATTATGTGATTAAGGTCATTATTGTGGGCTTAATTATGTGGTTATAATAATTAATATAAAATCATTATGGTTTTATTTATGTTTGACTAAGGATTTGTTTATGATAATAGAACTACTAGGGTGCAAGGGAAAATTCTGTGGTGGGAATTACTTATGAGAATAGAACTACTAGGGTGCAAGGGCAGTAAAAAACATATGCAATTTTTTTTAAAAATAAATATTTATAATTCTCACAACACTTTTCAAAAAAATCACTTCACCTACAAATCCTCTACAACCTTATGTGAGCTCCAAAAATTCGAGCTTTAGGGTACCGGTCCCCATATTATATATGGGGAGAATTTTAATGGATGAAATTCCAGGGTAAATTAGATAGAGATAAAACACTACCCAGATATTTCGCCCTCTTAGCAAGGACTTCAAGATTTGAGTAATTATTTCCCACAGGTGCAAGCCCCTATAGTTAATTACCCATCCCGATAACGAGAGAGAACTTTCGATTAAGGCTAGTGTGGGAATCGAGGCGAGGTGCGGGATTCGTGGGAGGCGACGCGAACGGCGCCGAATCGGCGAGACTTCGGCAAGATTCGAGGATCCGGTGGGTAAGAGGTATGTATGCGTTTCTCTTTGGTCTTTACGTGGAGGTCAACAGCTAGTCATTGAACAGATACGTAGTATACATCGTATAGTAGCAACAGGTCTAGAAATCTGAAATTGAAAATTTTATCACCTATCACTTAAAGTAGATGGTGGGGGGAATGATGATGAACCAATCAAGATTCCATGGTTTCATCGTCCCGGGTCATTATGGTTCCTAGTCTACTTAGTCAGAGGAGATAGTTGAGCCAACCTGACCGAAGGATCATTGTCGATAGCCATGGGTTGCTTTCGTACAAGAGGAACTTGTAGACTTGGGATGAATGTTTACCTAAGGGGTGAATTCAAGTCAACCTTAGCTCACAAAAGGTTTTGTGCCCTAATTATACTTTATGATTCATTACTCAATGATAAATAGTCATTGGGGAACATAAAAGCCTTCAATCATACAAGCCTTCAACCATGACTATAATGTAGTGGAGTCATTCGACCAAGCCACTAAATTAGAAGGCCACAGTCATAATTGCTAACCACATGGAGCCGAACTGGTCAAGCTGCAGGTTCTTTGTGGAGCCATCTAGCCAAACCACTGATTAGAGGATTAGTCATAACCATACCACATAGAGTCGTCTAGCTAAGCTACGGGATAAAGTGAAGCCGTATTGGCCAAGCCACCTATTAGAAGACAAATATCATGTCCTTACTAGAAAAATGAAATTTGAGAATAAATCTAAGTGATAATCTCAACTGGACATTATTCTGTGTGAACTAGAATTATCCTTAAGTTCATCGCCCTCGCCAAACGGTTACAGAGGAGGGATGAATTTTGCTTTAAGTTTTAGATAACTAATTTCAATTTTAAATATAAATTTTTTTAATGAACGTAGAGCTTTAGAGTTTATGGTAGGATTAAAAAAATTAACCCCTCAAGTTGATATTAGCTTACAATGCGGTCATTATTAAGAATTTTAAAGTCACTTCAAAATATTTGTATTTTGTTAAAGTTTGGAGGTGTTTGAAAGAGTACAGCCCCTCCAGTTGAGATCATGTTACATTGCACTTTACTCTATTCATGTTACATTGCACTTCAGTAAGTATATGTCACCTTGTACTTGACATATATAGAAAGTTTTTATACAAAAGTTCATATAGTACTTTGCATGTTAGATAGAGAGCTTCATATGTTAAAGTTCTCTTTTAGGTTTAAATCAAATTCTTCATATTCTTCATATGTATGTTTGATATTGTTGCATCATCTTATGTTATGAGATTAAAATACAAGTTTGTGCATGTTGAGGTGGAGTACCAAATATGATGCACTTGCACAATACGACTCTTTGGGGCAATACGGCTCTTCGGGGCAAAATGATGATAAATAACCAAATAAGAGATTATATCTGATCAGTACAATATGGGTACTCCAGTACGGATATATAATATATGCATAAACTAGAGATATATCAACATGTGATACAATAGACATTATGTAATATGACATGTGGTAAGCATATGATGTATAGAAAGGTGCATATGAGATTGAGATACATATAGCATATGACATGAAGAAGCATATGACATGTAGGGAGCTAATTACTGGACTACTTTACATGTAAATACGTTACCAATTTTGCATATTGTTTTCCTCTACATTGCACATGAATTTTGGATGTAGTTGTTATTTGTAAAGCGTTAGCTCATTCCTTATTTGTGGGATATTTTTAGGAGACCCAGCTGCTAGGTGAATAACTGAACGACCATGGTTTAAGTACAGCTGTAAAGGACCGGATGACAGGTTTCTTTTGTATATTTTTGTAGTTGTGGTATGTTTTTTTGGTGGATGTTGACATGAAAAAAAAAAAAATTATCCACCTTTGTACATCTTTGACTTTATATGAAATGTTTTGTTAAGATTGGAAGTTGTTTTTAGAGGCGCTAATTATATTTCTTGAGTTGTTTTAGATTTATATATTTCATTTTCTTTGATATTGAAATGCTATGTTCTATCATTTAAGTCTGAAATCCGTTCCCACCTCGTATATGCGTGCTCACCGGGCCGAGTCGTGACAGCTATAGGGAAGGTATTCAATTTTCTCTCTTCCGAGTCTCCATCTCATGATCTTCCCTTTGTCGGATTGACTTAGGGTTTTCCCAATTTTCTTGGTCGTCAGCGCCTTCCCTCACCTCCGACAACGATATTTTGGTTTGACCCTTGAGCACTTTCTTCAACATCTCCCCTAGACTGGAAAAATTCTCATCCATCTTCTCGTGAATGGCTGAAATTTGATTTTTGAAATCTAAAAGTTTAGCATGGAGATTTGAAATTTCAGTTTTCAATTGTCCAATCTCCCCTTCCAAGACTTCTACCTTTATTCCTACCATGGGAACCTGGATTTAGGATCCAGTAGCATAGAGCAACAAGTTTGACGCGAATTATGCCCTCCAATCAGCAAAAACAATAAGATCAGATATGGAATGTAGCAAAATTTTGCATTGAAGACTTCTACTTCAGCCAAGAAATTGTTCTGATACCAATTTAATAGGAAACACTTGAATATCTCAAGAATTTCCTATCAATCTTTGGAAAACAGCAAAAATTCTCCACAAGAATACACACAAAACTAGGAAAATAGTAGATAATTTGTATTATTTGATGAAATAAAAATGGAAAATATCAAGATACAAATGATCCTCTATTCGATAGGAGGATCTCTCTCTCCCAAATCTCTAGATGCCGCTAGAGCCCAAAAACCTAAGGGATCTCAAATTTCAGGCAAATTTAAGATGGCCTAACTCTAGCAAACATTACTACTTAATTCATAAAATTTAAAAGGAAATCTCTAAACTGCTCCAACTTTAAAATTTCCATCAAAATTCCCTCAAAAATCCTTCCTAAACAGCTCTCTCATGCCTGGGCGATCAGATCGTGCGTACAGGAGGCAGAACTTCCGCCCGTTTCGTCCGTAAGCCGATCTTGTATGGACTGACTGGACCGGTCTAACATATAACTCTAGTGCTCGAACATGTATAATGTCAGACTCTAAAAGCCCAGATGCAGCCTAGCTACTGTTAGATTTACCAACTCAACAAGCCATAATAGTAGGCCGTAGTAGAAAAAGCTCCTGTTTTCTTTTAGCTCGATGACAAATACTAAAAATTTAAAACTTACTAAACTTGATAAGTCAGAACAGTTCATATTCAAGGATTTTCTCAATTAAGAAATGGATTGAGGTAGAGTCGAGAAGAAGAATCTCATTCAAATCAAGGCACCAAGCCACAATCAAAATCTCTATCAAATTAGAAGCATTATTCCCTTCAACAAGTCTGTTAAACACAAAGAAACACTTGAATGTGCTTCCCTTCTTCAGCATGTCCGATAAAGTACAAAGCTTAGAACTGAAGAAGTCATCCCGTAATTCTTACATATCCCCAAATTGAACTAAGGGAATATTATCATCAATAATGTTTGTCATGCATAAAGCTCTGGATTGATGACCATCTGCCATTGACCAAACAAAAACCTTAAAGGTTGTGTCACCACTACCAGTATGCATCTTCGACCATGCCATGAAAGCATGAAGCTAGGGAAAAATACATATCCTACTCCTGATAAGTCGAGTAGATAAATCAGATAAACTACTTTGTCAAACCAGTTAAGGTTGAATGCTAGAGATGAAAGTATATTCAAATCCTGACAAATCGAGCAAGACAATTCAGGTGCCTGACAAGTTAGATAAGTCAAATCAGCACATCCATTCAACATAAAGTATCAGATTAGTGACAATCTCTACTGATATAATAAACTGCTATCAGCCAAGTTAAAAGTAGACTAAATCCCAATGCTTATCTCTTAAGAAACTAAAAGAGCTCACATTCATCAATGAGACTAGCAAATACACAGTTGTGAAAGAAACATAACCGCTAACTCAAAAAATATTTAAAGCTGTGAGCATAATAATAACATAAATTGTGAAGAGCAG